TATGTAGAAAAAAAGTTTATTTCTACGGCAGGTGGTTAAATCTACAGAAAGTTAACATAAATAATATATAAAATTTAATGTTTATACCATAAGCACCCCTTAATATTAAAATGCAAAATCTCTCAATTAATCAAATGCCCCAACCATTCACGAATGACAATAAAACAAAAGAAGAAAAAGAAAAAAAGAAAAAGCCCTAAAATCATAACACATGCTTGAATGAACCCTGTAAACGAAACTAAAACTGATGAAGGGGGAACGAATACCAATGGTTATAAAATATATAATATTAATTCCTCATATGTATTTTATTATGGTGACTTGAAGGGGTTTTGGCTATTACAAGTTATTTTCCAAGTTTATTTCAATTTTATTCTTTATTAATTCACATATAGTATAAATATAAACGATTGTAGATAAAGAAACAATATATTAATTAAATTATCACAAAATAATGTTTATTAGTTATTATATTTGTGGAATAATATTGTGTATGAAACCTGAATTGGAAAAGAGTGTGAAAATGAGAAAGGAAGAAGCAAGAAAGAGAAAAGATTATAAAGAAAAATGTAAATATGAGTTAGTGGCAGTAATCAAATATTGAAGTGTTTTCCTCCAGTGAGTGAGCGACAGAACTTCCCTTGTGATTGATAGAGTGCAAAGAAAAAGAAGATGGTAATGTGGGTATTTGGATATGGTTCTCTCATTTGGAAAGCTGGATTTCACTTCGATGAACGTGTTGTTGGCTTCATAAAAGGCTATCGCCGTGTCTTCTATCAAGGTCCTCTCTTTTTTTTTGTGTTTTTTCATTTCTCTTCAAATATATTGTGGAAACACAGATTCCGTGAAAGTGGGTCTTATCTTTTTTAGGTTCTACTGACCACAGAGGAACACCTGAGTACCCTGGAAGAACAGTTACTCTGGAACCTTCTGAAGGAGAAATCTGTGTATGTCTTCCAACTTTTTCTTTTTCTTTTGTTTTATAAAACAGCCCATTAATCAGGTTCATTTATAAATCATAGCAAGTTTCATAATTTGTCATTTAAGCCCTGCATAAACTTGTATAAATCTTGTATTCTATGTCTTCAGTCCTTTGGAGGAAATAAAGAATAAATTAACTATGTAATCTTTGTTAAGGGATTGAATGTTAGGTGATAAGAATCTAAGGAGACGTGAGAATATTGCGTTAGATGAAATGGATTTGTGGATACACTAGATAAGATAGTATTAGGAATGAATTCGTTAGAAAGAAGGCTTGGGTAGAGTTTAGTATAGAAAATATGGTAGAATCTCTCCTTACATGGTTTGGACATGTTTGGAGAAGTCATATGAAAGATAGCAAATCGCTAAAGGTAGAGAGAACCCAAAAAAATTATAGGCAAAAAGCAAAAACCAGCAAGAAGGATGGAGATGTAAATGGTTTGTCTAAAGACATGAATTATGATTGGACTTAATGAGTAATGACATCGTTTAATCAATATAGTCTACTTCCGTTATTAGTGAGAAAAGGCTTGATTGTTGTTGGTTGTATAGTTAAATTTAATATCCTTGACCTTTTCTCTTGGTCTTTCTTGTTTTTTACTTAGATTATTCTGTAAATTCTTCTTTGTTTTGATATTATTTTCTATTTCTTATGAGGAGAAATTACCAAATTCAATCAAATGTGAAATGGATTCTTAATGTATTTTGCAAGGATATAGTGGGGAGCTGCTTACAAGATCTCAAAGAAAGAAGATGAAGAAATAGCAATAACGGTATTTGTTCTTAAGATCTTTTTGTATGAAATGAATATTATTTTGCTGCAACTAAGCTTCAATCTTACTGATAGATTATTGTTTTTTACTTTAGCCAATACTTACCCTGTTAAATATGGGATTGACATTGATTCAGAATATGTATTGTTGATACAAAATGGAATTTTTGTTGTCTAATTAGTGATTGTGTATTTTACTCTGTTCCTGCATAGGTCTATTATTAGTCTATTTGAACTGTATGCTGCTAATGAGGTGGGTTAGATATTCATCCCTATATGAAATAGAAGTTTGAGCTATATTCTCTTTACGCAATCATTTAAATCCAATTTCCTAGAATGAGTTAGGATTTAGTTTGAAGCTCTTAGTTCAAGTTGTAGTAATGACTTCTTTCTGTACTAAAATTATTTGTGGTACTACTCATAAGCTTAGAAGATGATAGGATAATCTCAATGAATGAAAGGTGCTTCCGAAACAGTTTGTTATGGTAACTTTATATGTAGAAAATTTCAGACAAAAGCATCCCCTGCCCCTCACCCGACTCAACTCCTTTTAAGTGTCACCCAAAGAATGTTGTCATATGATTTTTTAGTACTAGCAGACTTGCATAATTGTTTATATAATTGGTGTATAAGACTCAATGTTGATGGGAGCTCACATAATTGGTGTGGCTATACAGGAAACAATATCAACAACTACATTTCAGTCCCAATAAACTTCATATTTTTTATTTCTACTTTTACAAATATCAACACTTTAGATTGATATATTTAAACCTTTACTGCACAGTATCTGGAAGTGAGGGAAAAGCAATATGACAAAAAGGAATACCTGGATCTTTTCACTGTAAGTGCCATATGCCAAGATTTTTTAGACTAATAAGATTCACAATTTTACTCAACTTATGAATTATGAAAGTTGGCATCTACTGTAATTTGTTTCAGGATCTTACTGCTACAACTCCAACCATTTCTGGAGTAATGGTGTAAGTGAAAGAAGCAACCTTTTTTTTTTCATTTTGGCATGTTTTATTAATAGTTAATTTGGTCAGACTGGTGTTTAAACAGATATATAGCATCTCCAAACAAGAAAGATAACGTAAATTACTTGGGGCCTGCATCAGTTGAAGATATTGCAAGGTATGTAACTTTTGTCCATATATTACTCTCTTAGTGCCTGTGCCATAAATGTAAAGCAAATTTGAGTATTCAAGATTATATATTGGTCCAGAGACCTGGCTTCAGGAGGCATACATATATGAATTAGTCGATTATGCATGAATTTCTAATAGGCTCCTCTAAAAAAGTGGTGATTAATTTGTACACAATGTGGTCATTATGCATACTTTTGTATGATGAATTACTGAAGAATGGAGATGCCACTTTTCATGGTCTAGAAATCAGATTACATAAATATAGGATCTTGCTGAATTATCTATCTACTTTTTAGACTTTTATGTGGGATTCATGCATTGTGGCTGTTTTGCATGACCCATTTGTAGATTTATACTCATCATCACTTACATACAAATTATTGTGGTCTTTGCCTCTTTCTTTCTTTCTTTCCATCTTCACAGGCAAATAGTTCATGCTGAAGGTCCCTCAGGACCTAACCGAGATTATCTTTTCCAACTTGAAAATGCTCTTGTTCTAATAGGTGAGGATCTTCAATGAAAGTTTTCATAAGCCATTTTAATTATCTTCTCTAATTTTCTATTTTTTCCTTTTTATCATTCTTTAGGATGCAAAGACAAACATGTTATTGATCTTGCAAATGAAGTCAGGCGTATTCTATCAGAGGAACATTAAATGTTTCTGTGTGTTATTTGTACTCAACATCCTAAGACTTTTGGAAACATAAATTCTTAATAACCAGCACTAGTTATGCTAACAATCTTCTCAAGTTCTCATGTATTTCCTTGATTTGGATACTAGAGTTGGAACCGTTCCAGCACAATGCTTTTTATATACTCTTTATAAATATTGTTTAAGGATTGGAGTATTATTTTGTGATAAAATATTTAATGTAATAAATGAGAGATAATATTTTTGGGTTAACATATTCAAGAAATAAGAAATATATTGAATGAAATAGTCAAAATGGATAATAAACATAGCACACCTTTTTTTCTTTAAGGAATTTGTTTACCTTTTACTAAGTGATTGCTTGAAGAATTGACGTAAAAGGATTCATACCTTGCTTCCAATATTAATAAAAGAATCAAAGCAATTCCACATAAATAAGAGTGACCAACAACAAAGTGAAATGCATGTTCCAATATTTAAACTCAACAAATTGTTTCTAATTATCAATGGCCACTTGTACATTTTTCTCCCTCTCATGCACTCCCCAATGTAGATTACTTACCAAGCAGAAGTCATCCACAATGTCCCAAACCATGTCATTGTTGTCACCCCAAGTTAGACAAAAACAACTCTACCACCCTTTAAAGTAATTGAGTTAACAAATTTAAGCAGATAGAACGTTTCCCTTTTAAGCAATTATCAATTTCAGGAAGCTGGTGGATTCTCCATATTATGACCAAATTGAGTGGTCTAAGTGGCATATATTTTGCGTGGATGAGAGAGTTGTACCAAAGACTCATGTAGACAGCAACTACAAGCTTGCTTATGATGGATTTATCTCCAAGGTAAAAATACTAATTATAGTCCCTTTTAGCTCGGTTGATAAGAGCAATCAGTCAGAGACATATGAATAAAGATTTGTCAGATCCTGTCTCATATGAAAACTCATGTGGGCCTATTAAACCATATTGGTAAACTTGACCTGAACTTAAAGAGAATTTTTGTTCTCATGGTTCTGAATATGTTAGGTGTCAATTCCTCCTTACCAAGTCAACACCATTGATAATTGTGAACTCGATTTTGTCCGGCCTATGTTTATAAAAACACAAAATTCAAAATAGCATGTCATGAATTGTGAGGACATTCTGATAAGTACATTTTATTATTTTGAATAATTCACATTGTAGAGAAGAATTCAAACCGTGATGACATTGGTTTGTAAAAAAGGAAAGAAATTTTTTACTTGGGTTTAAGCCTGGATGGGTTAGGAAGCACTTTGGAATGGCAATTCAATAGGTCATAACTTTCGCATTGTCTTTGGTTCTTAGCCTCATGGCAGCTGATAGCATTAAGGGAAAGTAGAACGCATGAAAATGAGAACTTAAGTCTGTCATCTTACCTTTTGCATCAAATATTGGTTTCATCTAAGACAATACCATGTCCCATTTTCTTTAATGTAATTATCGTTTCATTTCGTTTCAAAATGATCCAAATACAGTTGATACACCATTTCATCTTTAATATAAGATATATATAATTACAAAAAGTGCCTAAATGTTGTAACCCAATCTATACAAGAGAAGCTATATGATCCAGAAGCCATGAGACATTGAAATGGATTGTGATGACACTTTAACATTGGAGTTTCTTATTGAGCAGCTGCCATATAACGTTGGTGATGATGCAAAGATGGGATTCAACCCCAATTAAAGTACAACGTATCCCAAAACAGTGATAATGCTGAGAGAGACCAGCAGCACCCGTTCCCGTTCCACTAGATATTCTTCATTTGCCATGAACGATAATCTGAAATAGGGATAAAATGGTATTAAGATAAAAGAGAATAGCAATAAGTCAAGGAGTCAAGAAGAGAGATCATAAAATAATAATCAGAATAACAAAAGTCAGTGAACCAATGCCCTCTTGCCAACAATTACAGTATGAATTATCATTGAAGGAGGGGAGGGGATTCAGCCGTATATCATAATTAGAACAGTTGCACATGGTATGACACTAGACAAATGCAGACATAAATCATCGTCTGTTAGCTTTCTATTCAGTTACACATCCAACATAAATAAGCAATCACTCACAATCAACACCGATTATTGTAATAATGAGCAGTTTTCAACAGTCAGAGTAATAAAGGTCAACAATAGATAACTCTAAGAAGGCAATCAGAATAACAAGAGTCAGAAGATGATAAATCAACAAGCTTCACATACTCGGCTATAAATACAAAGCAGAAAGCAAAGAAAGAGACATTCCTGAATCTCCAGATTGACATTCACCTCAATTCCACCAACCTTACACACAGAGAATGAAGGGGAACACAAAACACACACCACATATCACACAAGCAACACACACGGATACATAAGCCTCTAATCATATCCAACAACCAAAGAGCATGCGACATATGCTAAAAGAGAGGAGGAAATATATACAAAACAATCATCTTCTCATCAACAAGCAATAATTACAACCCGAATTCAGCAGCCCCAGTTTCCTCAAAACATAGTAGAAATCAGGCATCAAAGGTGAAGGGCATGGTTCCACATCAAGGTCCTTCACTTCCACCAATTTAGACACGCAAGTCGTGAGCCTATCGCTTTCAGCGAGATATCAAATCCATAACCGAGAGTAAAATTAATGGTGTTGCATTGAGCCGCAGTTAAACATTCTCGGCTGAACCAACCTTCAAGAGAAAAGGAAATCGAAGATTTACCTCTACGTACTGTAAAGCCAGGGGTTTCTGGAGGATCTATAGCGGTGCCGCCACCAATAAGGCATCACCACCTCTTCATTGGTGAGGAATCGCTACTAACGCTCCCTTTGCATCTCAAACCAAAGTCACCTTGCTCTCGGCAACGACCACGAAGCTGCACCGTCACCGAGTTGCCATAGCCTCGCCGTAGAAGAAGTCCCCCTCACCGCTCCAGCTTGATTAATTTTCTCCATGACTGCCGTTGGAGGAAAATGAATTAGGGATTTAATCTTGTTTTGGTAGATAGTATGGGTAACTACCCCTCTTCACTTAGTTAATTTCATTTTTTAATTAATTAATCATTTTTTCACCATTCTATTGTTTTGCTAATAGGATATATACTTTATCCACATAATTCATATTTTACTAAGGAGTGTTTCTTTTACCATATAAATCATATTCATACCAATTTTAATAAAGATGGTTCATTTCATGACAAAAGAAAATAATTTCTAAATGAATTTTAATGAAATTTTTATAGCAAGGTCATGGTTCGATTCGACTCTGATTTCTCTAAAAATGGAAAGAAGATGAGCGACTAATACCGTCTCTAAACTATTAATTTCATATTCCAAAATGTGTTAACCAAAATTTATCTTATTTAAATGAATTTATACTCAAACGAATTTAAATGGAATTTTTATAGCAAGGTCATGGTTCGAGTCGACTCTGACTTCTCTGAAAACGGGAAGAAGGTGAGCGACCAATACCGTCTCTAAACTACTAATTCCTTATCAAAAGTATTTTGTAAAAAAATCATATGGTATGACTTAACAACTTCAACACATTTTAAACTGTCCAAACCAATTTAATTGATTTTCGAACTAGAACAACAACGTAGCATTGATTTCCCTATTGCATCTAGGGATACGTAGGAGCAAGATGAACTCTTGTCAGACACAACAATAAAAAATAAAACATGTTGTTTTTTATTTACTGAATTTTAATAAATAATTTTAAGGGTATAAAAGTCCATGTTATTAGCGACGGTACCATTTTAATACGGGCGGACGAGGTGCTAATACCTTCCCGATCCGTAATCGACTCCCGAGCTTAGAATCTATGCTCAAAGACCAAATTATTCTAATTGGGCTTATTAGAGAGTTTTCTACCTTTTGTCCGCAAAAAACGGAGTGGCGACTCCAAAACAATTGGAAGAGGTAGAAATCGAATTTACCTCTCCCCAAGTCGCATGACCGGTCTTCCAACCAAAAATCGGGTGGTGACTATAATGCCTTACCAGCTGATGGAGTAGCTGATGTTTATGAAACAAGTCTGAGACGGTTGGTTGGAAGGAGAGTGATAAGTACATCATCAAACACTGGATTTCCAAAATTTGATCTCATTCTACTAGACATATGGGTCCTGATGGCAATGTAGGTGCTCTCTTCCCAAGGTACCCTGAAGTGAATGAGACTAAAAAATGGGTCACATTCCTTCAGAATGCACCAAAACCACAATCAGAGAGGATTACATTTACCTTGCCAGTGATTAATTCTGCTTCAAATATATAGATTCAAGCTATTCGCTGAATCTATATATATTCATAGCACTGTTGCAAAAGAGAAAATAAATCATAACATTGGACTGCTATAGCCATGATTATGAAGGTATATAGTACTAGTGTATGGTTTGTAAGACACTATAATATTCATACAATAATGACCATTTTCATTTTTCCTGATTGGATTATACTTAATTATTCTAAAAAGTATGATTGAATACAATAATCATCTTTATTTATGTAATATTCTTAACATTGGGTCATTCATTGTTTACTTTTGGCAATTTTAAATTAGAGATAGAGAAAAAAAGTCACATGCACAGCAAAGGGTGAGATTGGTGCTCCTTCCTTGCATAGAATAAATAAATAAAATACAATTTGTGATACTAATTTACTAACATTCAAAAATCATGTTACAATTGATTTTATTTAGTTATTATTAATATAATCAAGAATTAAAGAACATTAACAATGTATTATCATATAATAATGACATAACTGTAGTGTTATACTCAATTTAAAATTATATTATCCTATGTCATTCTCTTAATTCTTTTTTAAGCAAAAGTAACGTTGCTCCAATAAGAAGCAATATAATATGTAAAGTAGTATAATGTATATAATTATATATGGGTCTTTCTATAAGGTCATCCACATCCCTAACTTTAAGAAAGTCTTAAGCAATGTGGATGTGAAATAAATTAGGAAAGTGGAGGCTAAGATTTTGAAAGTATTTTATGTTGATCAAATTATATAATTCCACGAAATTAACGGTGGAATTATGATTCTAAGTACAAACATACTTCCAAACATGACAACTAAAACTTCAAGCCTCAATTCCAGTTCCAAAATCCAATTCTATAGTAATATATTGTACCCAAGTTCATGTGCCAAACGAACAAGAGAAATCCTCGCAATGTTAAGTTTAATCCTTTTTTAAGGAACAGTTTTTTTTTTTTGTCTCGCTAAGACCCTTATTTTTAAGAAATCACACTTCATTAATCCAACCTGATCTTGGAAGACCTATTTAATAATGATGGTAAAACTATTTTGAACACCTATTGTTTAAGGTAACCACTATATGTCCACTCAAACAACGTGAGTTATGTACCCAAAAAATAAACAACGTGGGTTAGATTTTATAAACATTTTAATTTTGGTTCTTACACTAGGGTGCTGGGTGCAGAGTCTGACATAAGCAAAAGGAAACATGAGAATATATGTTCTTAACTTCTCATAAAAAGATATCCTTGTTTTTTTTACAGGATTACCATCATATCGCTTATTAAATGAGATGAAATTTTTTACCAAAAAATGAAATAATATTAAACAAAATTTTGTATCTCTTGTTAATTCACCCTTCTGGTTATAAAAATTGCAGATAAAACATTTATATTTATAAATTTATTTTATTTATTACAAAACATATATTTAATTGGTATATACTTTAATTAATTAATCATTAGTTAAATAATTATATTATTATATTCATACTCTGATCAATTCTAATCATTGCTCCTATGTAAGTGAAGTGTATAGTACTATAAAAAAAGATTATTCCTTTAAACTTTTCAATAAACATAATATTTTTTATGAGTAATATTAATACTAACTTTTACTTTTTTTACTTAAACTTGACAGAAACAAAAGCAATGTCTGTCATATATGTATCTGATTCTTGATTTTTGTCTTGTAATGATAGTAACAAAATGTTCCATGTATACTTGCCTTGCTTCCAGTACCAATGAAAGAATAAATCAAATATGAAGCATAAATAAAGGAGTGGAACAACCAAATGACTAGTAGGGTTAATTGCTCTATCAAATCTCAAGAACCATAAAAATGGCCTTCTCAGCAGCTTTCTCCACTTCCTTATACACTCCCCAAACCAGCTTATTGTTCTCAGAAAAATCAAATAACCTCTTCCAAAAAACATGCTCATTATTCCCATCTCAGGCTAGGAAGAAACTCCTTTGCCAACCTCTAAGGTATAATGGGTTTTCTACTGAGAGATCATGTGTTGGCATAGTGAAGGCAATTAAGTCTGAGAATTGGTTTAAAAATGTTGAGGTGTTCACCAAGGAGCATGTTGCTGTTTTATTGGCTCATGATGTTGCTCAACATAGCAACAAATTCATTAGAGAGAGGGGTGCTTTCACTGTTGTTTTGTCTGGTGGGTCATTGATTAAGTACCTCAGGTGAGTTATTATCATCATCAAATTCACATATAACATGAATTAATGAGCTAATGTTGAAATGATATTTAGATGTTTGATAACTTTTTAACAATTTAAAAATGTTAGGCATGTTAATAAGTATTACTGATATGAACATAACTCACAAAAAATATTACCTTATTTATAGTTTCTAGCATGTAACATAATATAAGCAAGACTTTATCATGTTTTTATGGTGCAACTTCAGAAAATTGGTGGAATTTCCATATGCTGAATCCATAGACTGGTCAAATTGGCACGTTTTTTGGGTGGATGAGAGAGTTGTACCCAAGGATCACTTAGAAAGTAATTACAAACTTGCCTATGATGGATTTCTCTCCAAGGTAATAATAATTTGAATTTCGCATCGTGCACTATAGGTTATTTAATTTGCAGAAGAATGAAGATAGATTATTAGGAACTGATTTAATTTTGATACTTAGATATTTTACCCTTTATTCTATCAACATTCCTCAGTAACCAATATGATTAACGATTAGTTTTTTTTTATAGAAAAATGATAAAGAGAAGAGAACATAAATTTGTTATCTTATTACTTATAGTATAACTAATGTTACCCAATAGAATTAATATAATCATCTTCTGATAAAGTTAATAATTGAAACTTTTTCTTATACTTTAATTTGGAAGGTACCAATTCCACCGGTGAATATTTATAGTATTGATGATGCCCTAGAAGCTGATGGAGCAGCTGATGTATATGAAACAAATCTGAGACGCTTGGTTAAGAGTGGTGTCATAGCTACATCAACAAATGGATTTCCAAAATTTGATCTCATGATGCTAGGTATAGGCCAAGATGGGCACGTAGGTTCTCTATTCCCAGGGCATTCTCTTGTGAAAGAGGACAAAAAATGGGTTAGCTTCATCAAGGACTCACCAAAACCACCATCTGATAGAATCACATTAACTTTTCCAGTCATAAATTCTTCTTCAAACATAGCAATGGTGGTGACTGGTGCTGGTAAAAATGATGCAGTTTACTCTGCCCTAAGAGGTGATGAAAAAACTGATAAGTTACCTGTAGGATTGGTTTCATCTGAAGGAGAATTGAAATGGTATTTAGATATAGGTGCTGCTTCAAAGCTGTTTAAGGAGTAGATACATGTGATATTATATGCTACTAAAATTAACATCCCTTATTTATTTACATTTCTGTAATTTGAACCAATTAGTTTGCTGCCTTTTTTTACTATGTATCCTAATACGATAAGAAAAATGAACTAATTATTAATACAATGTTTATTAGTCAATTGTATGGTATAGTTTTTTTCTTATCATATCAGAGGATGAAATCAGAAAAGTATCATTTATTTAGGTTAACAAAATATTTTAATTCAATTAGTAACATTTGTTAACTATATCATTTCATAAGCAAACCCTATCATATCTTTTTTACTATTCTCATATTGAAAAATAAAAACTAGAGTTTGATAAAAAGGAGAAATATGTGAAGTCCAAATATTCCAAAAATAGAAAAGTTTTGTCCTTATATTTTACTAGCGTGTCGATAAAC